CCCCGTGTCATCTGTCAAATTGGCCCGGTCTCAGAGACCTGCGGCGTTAGAGAGTTATCTTACAACTGCATTAATGACGTCTTCAGGTTCGGTGCTAATAAGGTGGAAGCGAAAGAGGGTTAATATTATGAAGGTAGTTTCGTGTTGATGGTAAAATTAAAGTAATGATGGTGTTTTTTAGATTGAGGTCCATTCTACAGTATTGCTGCCTCATTAGTCGTGTGGTCGCAAATGCGACTGCCGGTCAAGGCGTCTCGGGTTCGATTCCCGGGTCGGGTAAAGTATTACTGGGTTTTAAAAAAAGCATCCTAGTAGTAGTAAGGAGTCTGGAAATATGCAGGGTGTATGGCAATAGGCTTACCCCTATTATTTGGGACTCATAACATAAAAAGTGGGTGTTACATTGTATACAGAGGCATTAAGTGCCGTAATGTGCACCTCTGTCTAACCCTTCGGGGATAAAAGGTGTGAAGAAGTTATGTGAACAGTATTGCAAAAGAAATTAAATCAATAGGAGGAGTATTTTGTCTTATCTTAAAGACTTTATCTTATCATTTCGTTTTTAACTCGTCGAGTACGGTCATTATAGACACAATTATAGAACAATAGGTTGCGGTCACCGGTGACCGCTTGGTGTTTGACAGTTTAAACGGTTTTATACCTTCACAACAAATAATAAAAGGTGCTTTCGGTTTGCGCTAAAGATAACATTAACAAAAAAGTATTTATAGAGTTCCAGGTTACGTAATAAATACATTAAATTTATGTTCAAGCATATTCCTTACAAACCTGCTCATTACTACAATATTCGGTAACTATTCAGAACTAAAAACATCTTTACTAACAACTGCTTGACTGCAAACGAACTAAATGAAACCCTAAGCAGTGGGTGACAGTGTGTGCGGACCACATAATGATAGTAATTCAACAATTAAGAGTTAGCAAGTCACAGGTCAAGAGTTTACGTTGAACCATCGTTAACTATCTCTCAGATTGTCAAAGTCTTTGTTAACTCTTTATTCAGTCTGTAATTTACTTTTTTCTTTTTTATAATGCACACTGTAATATGTGGACAGTTTGTATTAGTGTAGTTATCATTTTAATCTTTTTCAGTTCTTGAACTCCTTTTTTTAAAGATGTTAGTGACATGTCGAGATTTATTTTTATTTCATTTATATAGTTTTGTTTGTAAATTAAATGAGACTATTGCAATTCATTTTGGTCAACGTTCTTGAGGTCAGTGTCCACTGCCCAGACTACTAAAAACATTATTAGGTATTTAGCTACCTATTTATTATGAGCTTACTTATATTTTTATAATTACTATCGTGAGACATATTAAATTAAACACGTTGCTCATGAGGAAGAACCCTTCAGTGGTTCGAAAGTAGTAGAGCTTTTCTCAGTAGGTATATTTACGTGAGTAACTCATAATTTTTAGTTAATTTAGCTTGCTTATACTTAGTTTTCTCGGAGTTTGGAGATAGTATCCCGATCCCGTATTTGGCCTGAATCTCGCCCCTATTTTCATTAAGTACATAATAGATAAGAAGTCTTGAATCTGTCTATTCTTTCCGGGAATATGCGTCATGATTCATAAGTTCATAACTGATCTACTTTAAATAATACCTAAGGGATATGAATCCTACCTACATTCCGAAGCTTTTTTAATTTCATCCAAGTGTGGAATAACCCAAGCCTCGTTTTCCTCTTTCAAAGATGAGGTGGGTTATTCCACGGCTAACTTAACTGTACCCATGAAAGTTGAGTTTAAGTTATGGTGTTTAAGATTTGAAAGTAGTTATTGACGTTTTTGTTTACCGTTTCAAGACTTCAAGATGTTCGTATCTATAAATAAACGGTTCATTCACAGATAGAACTATTACAGTTTTTAGGCATGAGGTCGTGAGTTCGATTTCACATTAGTAATAAGTTCAGTTGCAAATAGGACTTTGATTGCAGTTAGGCGTAGGGTAATGAGGATATGAGTTCGGTACCAGATTAAGTTCATCAAGATATTTTCGATTGGCGAAAAGTTGCTATATACCTAATCTAAGTAGGGAAATGTAGAAAAGTTAACCTCTGCTACTCCTTTTAGAGAATTACAAGTATAATGTTATGTAGATTATGTAATATATGAGTATACTCTGCTCCAAAGTTCAAACTCCGATTGTCAGTTGAACTAACTATTGTTTAATTTGAACCCAAAACAGACACATGTCGGATCCTCTGTTTGTCTGCCCTGAGAATAATTATATGAGAATGTTTTCTGAGAAACTGACACACAGACGGACGGAAATCAAAATATTATCGTAATAATAATGACACGTGCTGCAATCGTCAAATATTTTAGAACAATATTCATGTATTATGATTCATAGGAAATCAAAATACTTCAAGGCAAACTGAAATAGACCTTAAACGTGTTAAGCTTTAGGATGAAATTCGAATCACAAACAGAAAGACTCTTTACTTTTTCAATGAATCGAAATTGCAGTTCACAATGCGAGTAATTAAAAACCAATTTATTCATAAACAAAATAAAGTATAAATTCAAATGGCGAATAAAAATAGAATCGTTTAAGGACGAATGCGTTGGCAAGACAAACGCTGCATTTATACGTCAGAAACTGTATCACAAAGAGATAAGGTACATAATCGCATGTTTTACTCTAGTCAAAATTTAAGTGCACAATAGATAGCACGAAAATAGTGATGCGCGTTAATAGAACATTTTGCGTGCGTATGCGCACGTACGCATGCAATAGTGATGTGCATATTTATCGAATGATGTGTTGATATCGATAAAATGTAAACCCGTTAGTATAGGGAATCCCAAGCACAAATTAATCTCATAAGTAGGTATGAGACCGCATTTTTTCAACAGGGTGAGTAACTGATCGTATTTTGTTTTTTTTTCTGAGTCGGAATGGGTGTAGTCAACCACACTTTGACTACTTGATTGATGATGGTATCAACATCTATAGAGTTAGGCTTTGAATAATTATCAGTAAAAAATATGACATGAGCCTCTAAACTAAAAAAATGATTTGATCGATGATATAAATGTACAATTTTTTTTAGATCAATTGTTTAAAATAACAAAAAAAAGAGATACCTTGTTCGAAATAGACCACATTTTTTATTAACATATCCTCATCCTTTCCCTCATAGAAACAATAGGAAACAAAACAAAATTATAATAGCTAAAAGTTACCTAAATCCGAACTAAAAATGGCGTCACGACAGATTTCTAAAAAAATAACAATTAAGTGTAACAATAAATTTATTCTTATTTTTAAATAATCCAAGCTTCCTTATCACACAATTTAACAATAAAATACACAATTACATTACATTTCCCTCTTAATAGTATTGTTTCAAGAAGTTTATCTCATAACCATAAATTAAAATAATACAATTACAAAGTACGTTTTATTATATCACTGGAACGACTTGTGTGATAACATGTAATGACATTTCACATCATTCGCAATAACAAAACGTTTTATGAAGACAACAATAGATTTTTATTGAGCCTTTATCATGAGCTAATTATAAGGTTAATGTATAAAAAAAGCTTTTATGACTAATATGAATAACGACAGTTACCTCTCTATATCTGAATCTGTTTTGCATCATTTTGTTATGTATTGTAATATTACCTATTGTTTTCACTTTCCTTATTTTTACCTTATAGGAAATATCCTTAACAAAATAATTGAGACATATAAGGATAAGATTTAAAATTCGAGAACTGTTACATAAGATATTTTTTATCTAAAGTACAAAGCATACGGCCACACCCTACAATATGTAGGGAGGTACTAATCCAAAAAAATCAGTTTAATATTTATCAAGTACTGTTAGAGTTACAGGTTTCCATACAACGTTCACTGACGTCACTGACGTCACGCCTTAAAAGTACAAGTTCAGGGAATTCCCACAACTTTCACGATATCATCAAAAGTCAAGACACTTTGTAAAAAACTCTCTCATACCATTATTTGACTTCAAAAATTAATGATGTTAAAGTTCTTATATTTGATATCGATTTCACCTCGATAGTTTTCCATAACTTTCCTAAATTGACATAGTATATAATAAAAAAGAAAAAATCTAACAAGTAGAGCCAAATTGAACTCAAATGACACAGCATTAAACGTCATCTCTAACAAAAAAATCTTAAAAGTTCCGTCCAATAAATATGCAAACCAACTTTCATTCTTTTCATCTTACTAATCGTCATTTTGCCAAAACTCCCAATTTCACAAGAGTTGCCACAATGACGTAGGAACCAAAAGTCATTGATCGTAAACTTGATCTGACTCAGAATCCGATCAGGTCAAGGTTTTAAAGCCATTACCGCATCTTACGCAACGAATGCAGTTATGTCCGTAACGCAAGGACGGGATAATGAACTGTATTAATATTTACTGAATAAATTAATTTATAGGTAACACAGTTGTGCTAATTATATCCCTATTTGTCTCATACATTCATTCATATGACTTTTCACACGTATCGTGCCATTCATTCTAAGATAGAAAAAACTCCTAGACAAAACAATAGTTTTATAGTCGTGATGTGACGTCACAGTCACATGGTATGATAATACATGTTTCACGCCGAAATTCCACCAGTTTAGTATGATCAAGACTGGACCTTGCACTAAAATTTGAGTTTCTAACATTCCGACTAAATGTCGTAATAGTTAAACACCCTAAACTCAGCATCATCAAACGTCATCGTTCAGAAATCAATAACCTTATGACGTTAACAAATTCCTTAAAATAAATATTTAAACCGGATATGACACAATAAACACACACCACGCTTCCCTTTCTTTCATCAACATTTGAAAAGAGACAAAAAAACTGACCATAAGTCATTTTGTATCCAAGGAACTTTTTTTCGGAAATTCTATCGACCGCAAAGTGAATCCCTAAACAGTGCGTCAGATAGTCGGAGATAAAATAATGCGTACTCTTGCGCAGCCTCCAGTGACCAATGGTCATGCGCGCACGCAACATTAACGACATGTCGTTCAACCGTCGATAAGTTTAAATATAGCACATTACTATTTTATTTTTCTTTTTAATTAATTGTGCTTACGATCGCGTGCTGTAAGTTATCGAATATTTTTTTGTCCATAAATATGTTCGTCTCGTGAAGTTTTGTGAAAAAAATGTGAAAGAGTGTTTGGATATTTTTGTTTTGACTGGATGTTGTTATAAAGGATTTTTAATGAAGAATCTTTTGTGAGTACTATATTATTAATGGTGTATTATAATAGTAGGTAACAATGCAATACCTATATATCAATTGAACATGATGCTGTAGGAATAATATAAAAATATCTGATGATAAAAATATTATTTTCCTTATAATATAAAAATAGACGACACGACTTTTTCGCACTTTCATCCTATATGCAATAAAAAAAACTATCGATAAATTTCAATAACACCGTGCCACGTCACTTTTTCCGCATTTCTCAGCTTTTACTAGCATTTTATTGTTTCTCCCGATTTCCGGGTAATTTGAATAATTTTAGGCAACGCAATATGTGGTTCCCTTATGAATTCCTGTGGCGAAATCTACATACATATATACAGACAGATAATGATATATATTACTACGTATTTTGGTTAAATGAAATTGAAAATTTATGTTTATACGCTTCGTTAGCTAGGAGACTTTATTGGTAAATCAGTGTCTAATTTTACCATACGTTTAAACTTAGATTTGTCTAAGTCTAGGAGTCAGTTATTGATGTAGGTACCTATTTTATAATTATAAATAGAATTATTCTACGATAATGTGTAGTTTGACTATTAAATAAAACGTATCTTGAATCCTAGAATTTACTTTAGCTTAAGTCTCACAAGTAAAACTAATATATTTCGCCATTCCTAGAAAACACAAAGAAAGCTAGGATTACTAATGTTTGGCTACTGGCTAGTAGAAAAACTACATAGTTTTACGATATAAAAGGGATCGGAATGTTACCCTAGTTTCTTAGTCTCGTAATTTCGTAAAAGGCGATTTATATTAAATACGTATACAGTCGAATATATTAGGAAGTAATATATACGTCTCGGTTCCGTCTAGAACAACAATTTTTACAAAGTATATATTCTAGCTTAATGACAATATACACACAAATAACACAATACTCATAGGAAATACAATATTTGCATTAACCGTCTAAAATATTGTTTATTTTTATCTTTGATAATCAAATTTTTATGGACGCGGACGACCAACGATAAGAAGGTTTTGAGACCAGTATTATGTAGTCAAAATTAAGATTTTTCAGACGACTATCTCGCATTCCGAGATTATTGTCTTAATTACGCTTATTTGTCCAAGTTATATTAATTATTTCGATTATAAAAATCTATGAAAGTACTAACCGTAGAGCCTAAAATTATGTCCAATATCTATTATTGTGGGTAATGGAGACTTTAGTTTATTTGTTCAAGAAATAATAATCGTGATACGTATTATAATTACACTAATATTATAAATGTGAAGACCCGAGAGTACGGCGCGTTGCGTTCCGAGCGCGGTTCAAAGAGCCATCAGACCACCAGAGATGGGGCCCAACAGGGCCGATGCCGGATGGAAAAGGAACGGGGTGGTTTTAGTCAGTAAGAGTCTGACACTCCCTCCCTCCTCACCCAGACGGGAGAAGTCATTCGATGATTTTTCCCCCCGTAAAAATAAAATAAATGTGAATGCTACTTATTTAGACGTTTGGATGTTTGTTCGTCAATCGACAATCACGCTGAAACTACTGATTGGATTCTAATGAAATTTGGTTTGGACTCTCTGGCTCTCATGAGATAAAACAGGAATCATATTATACACGGAAGAAGTCGCGAGCAACAGCTAGTGTTACGTAAAATCAAAAACGAAATATGTAAGTCAATTCAAACTACCACTAATAAATAAACTATTTATTACAAAACATTAGTATTTAGTATACAAGTAGTCATAATCAATAACTATAATGATATAATTATGATGTACAATGGTAATTAACATGAATTTATGTAATACATGCATTGAGACCGTCCGACAATTTGTTTGTATTAGCAATAACTAATACGACATTATGGCGGACTCAATATGTTAAACGCCTTTGTTAATAAACGACTTAGCTCTCGACATGGCTTCACTTGTGTAGAATTTAGATTCTGAACCAATGTTATGTGTTATCTACATTAAGAGAAGTCACTATCATCAACAGCCAATACAGTCTGTTGGACTATGGACCTTCTCTACATAATTTAGGGTCCATAATCTACATAACATAACATCACGCTTTTTTATCCCCGAAGGGGTAGGCAGAGGTGCACATTACGGCACTTAATGCCACTGTACAATGTAACACCCACTTTTCACTATTTATGTTACGAGTCCCATGTAATAGGGGGTGAGCCTATTGCCATAATCTAACCATAATTAAATAGATCTCAATTTAAAACCTTCAAGTTCATCAACGAAGTCTCATTTAAATGTGTTAATTATATTGTGCTGAACCCATTGTTATAAATTATTGAAGCACCAAAATATCAGTGTATTCATGTGCTATAGCTAATATAGTACATAGATCCTTAGTTAGCTACTCCTTAGAGAAAAAAAAAAGTAATAAAAACAAACTATATCTTTACAACATAAGCGTTTAAAGAAGACAAGCTAGAAACCAGATAACTAATTTGTGAGAATCGCATACCATAGAGGCCAGTGATAGATAATAGACATTCTCTATAACATTGATTGGTAGGAATGCATCGAGAATTAGAACGACGACATTCATTTGTTTATAATAATTGAACGATGCCTGTATTTGGTAGTTAGTTGTAATGCATTGTCGTGTGTTATATTATGTGATTTATTGTCGATCTAAATTATTATGTAGTGTTGTGTAAACAAACTACATAACTGGAATTGTGTGGATGATTCGTTATAGAATTGTTCTCTTTTACTAATGGCAATTGTAAGAGGAGAGAAACTGATTGTTGAGATTGTGTTAGAGTAGTTTTAAAGTTTGCTTTATTTCTTACCTTGCTTTATTACTTTGGTTGTAACTGAATTTTTTTTGTAACTATAGGCTCATTTTATTTTATACTAACAGCAGAGGCGAATAGACCTAAGACAAGCACCTAATAGGCGCCCCTATTTTTATTGGCGCTTCCACTGTATGGATAGTAGGGCAAGCGCGGCTCGCGGTACCTCTCTATAACTTGGTACTTGTCTAGTTTGCCTTAGGGACAATACGGATCTGACTAATAGGATTTATCACTTAAATATAAACCGTTTTCATATCAACAGCCTTGATTATCTATTGTAGTCCTTAGGCCTGGACTGTGGGCCTCGTCATTAGATTTGTCATATTTCCCAAGATTGCTAGTCGAGTTGGAGATTCAAGTTTAATAGGTTCAGGGTTATCATAGAAAGAGTTGCTTCGTCTCTGTCAGTGTAGTCCCTCAGTGGTTTCCTACGACACCCACGAGAAGATTAGAAGTGAAGTGAAGACTTTATTCGATTCTACCGGCTTAAATTACATTACCTAAATAATGAACTTTATCTAAACGGAATAAGGCGTTAATAATTAGTTTATAGTTATAGGTACACATTATTGAGATAGGTCATTACATTATACATTCTTTATAACTTCATCATTCACTTTTAACTTAGACAGATAAGATTAAGCAAGACAGTATGCATAATTTATCAGAAAGGCTGTATTCATATAGATAGCGAAATATGTAGGTACTTTATTGGTTATCATTTCATTGATAAGACAGTGCTTCTCAAGTTTCGGGCCTAACGAGGACGACAGAAAATTGTTTGCTAATCTTGCAGTCCCTTTTTATGAGGATAACTATCATCGAATGACTCCCCCTGTCTTAAGTCACATGAAAGGGAGTGTCAGACTCTTACTGATTAAATTTCATCTCCTACTTCAAGTCAGATCTGCGTAGACTTCTTACTTTTCCGGAGCCATCTTGCGGCCCCTGATAATGTGAAGTTGAGTACAACTGAACCGGCTGTGCCAGACACATCAAAGCTAGAAACAATAGTTATCATTCAGTGGACATCGTTTGATGTCTGGTCCCTTATCAATGGACAATTGACCTGGTTCATCATTTAGATATTATAATGATATAATTATAAAGCTTGTTTATAGGCGCTGGGTACTTATTTTGAGGTTGTTTTCATTGTCTGCGCCTTTATCGATGGGTGTAGATAAATGTGGCGTATCCTATGCATAACAATAAACCTTTTTCTTCTAAAAGGATGAACAGAGATGAAGGTTATTGAGATCTTTTGTCATGTTATGACAAATGTGCTTACCTAAACTGAATAAATGTCGGTTTAAATCGATTTTAGGATGTTTGGATGATAAACGAGTCATTATGGTGATGGCACACAAGACTTGTTATCTACATAGTTAAATATAAAACAGCTAAACAGTATAGTAGTCAATACATACAAGTTTTTAGAAAATATAATTATTTTACCAGATCATTTTCAGCAATGTTTACTTAATGACTGACTAACTTTATTTGACCAAGTGTTCACGCTTTAGTCATGGCTATTGATGCATGGGAAAACCTGGGAAAACCCAATGCAAGCCATAGAAAGAAACTATATAAGTCACGTATGACTAAAGTGTTCTTAAAACAATTGAAGTGTGCAAACAAGTGATGCATTAAAAAGTATTGTGATACTGTTGGCTGCATTTACGCATTCATGTTTTTTGGAAAGGGGTTTCCTTTGGTAGGGTTTTACCTTGTCATAAAATACAATAAAGTGGTGACGAGTCAGAAAGTCGTATAATTCTTAAACGCATTATGTGTGTGTTTGTACAATTATGTAGCCGTATCATTATACCTTTTATGCACAGAAGAGGTAGGCACAAAAGTGTAAATGCTAACAGACGGCACAGATTTTGTTCAATTATATCATTAGACTAATTGTACTAAGGCACTCGTAAGTCGTGGTGGCCCGGAGGATATAACGCCCGGTTCGCATGCATGAAGGCGCGGATTCGAAACCTACCAACGGCAAGTACCAATGTGACGTTTCCGAGTTATATGTACTTTGTTAGATTATTTAGACACCATTGACAAACAGTGAAGAAAAACATCAGGAGGAAAACATGGACTTATAATTTCTAATTATGCTTATTATAAGTTTGAAATCGCCAACCCGCAATGAGCAAGCGTGGTGATTAACGCTCAAA